CGCTCCGAGGCGATGGGCGGGATGACCAGCGGCCTCTCCTTGATCAGGTGGACCTCTGCCGACTCCCTGGCCAGCAGGAACGGGGTGGGATCGGGCATGGCGTCCACATCGGCTCTCCGACCCTATTCTGTAGGCCTCCTCAAACTCGGGGTTGAGGGGCGTCGACAGGCTCTTCTTCATCCTGCGCCGCGGAGTCTCTGGCAGTTTGTCTTTGGGAGGGGACGGCTTGTAGCTGGACAAGACGGGACTGCCAGAAGGGGTCCCCTCCGAAGTCCCACTTGAACTCATCAGCTTCTTCTTGGTGGCGTGCAGCTGCGAGGTTAAATAAGCAATAGTGCTCGCTCGCTGCTCTAGTTCACTCGACAGCATGTTGAGCTTATGGCTTTTCATTTTCAACTCTTCCAAATACTTCTTTTCTCTTTCTTTGATAGTGTTTTCCAGAACCATTATCATCGCGTTCTTTTGTTCAAGTTCTTTCAATAATTCATTGTTTTCATCTTCCTTGACTTTAAGCTGAGCTTCAAGATCTTCACACTTTCTTCTGAGTTCATCACTTCTTGAACTACCATTTCCTAGAAGAACAGGAGAAGCACAAGTGTTTCAAGTAACCAATAACCACCAAGTCAAATAGAGCAACAGGGTTGCCTTTGCCATCCCAAACCATAAGAGAAATCCCAAAGACTAACTTCAGCTAAGACTCAAAATTATTACTAGTGCATACTAGATACTAGTGTATCTAGCTCATATATATATATACACACACACATACATATATATAAATAAAAGCTTTGAGGCTTAATTACAATATCAGCTAAGTTTAAATAACAGCCTCACTCTTCTGACCCTAAAATTCACACCCTGTGTTCCCACAGAGCATGCAGGGAACTGTGTAGTAAGAGAGAGCAGTCAGTGGTTCTATACTCTGTCCCTGGCTCTTTCAAAGTTTTCCTGTGTGACCTTGGTAAAGAACTTTTGGTATTTACTTCATAAATAACAGTAGGTCTGGAAAGTAGAAAACTACTTTTATACCTATAGAATTTATAAAGTCGATATCCCCGTGTAAAGTGTTATCACCTACTTGGAATGGGGCAAACACGAACACTGACAGCCAGGAGGAAGTCTGACATGAATATGGAAGGAGGAATGCTGTGTCTTCCTTACCTGACAGGTCTGAACTCTTTACAGTCAGCTCATAGGTTAAATCTGAGGAAAAAAGTTTAGTTTTGTTAGAGCATGCTTGCCAGCTGGGGTATGAGGTAGCTGATGATGTTTACAATGGCACATTTTGACAAACCCATGACATATCCCCCAACACCTGACGCAGTGATGGGAGATCCACTGCAAATTATCCAATCTGTGAAACGACTGCACCCATCCGCTTTTCAAAATGCACCCTGTACTTAACGATCCCACGGCTGTGCCCGAGCTACACGCCCACCACCCAAAGGCAGCCTGGCGGTGGGGTGGGCTTGGCTGCTCTGTGCCCAGGGTGGGGGCAGGAGCCTTTCACCCTCCCCCTGCCCCCGGGGCGGGCGCCGGGCGGTACCTGTGCAGTGCTGCTGCAGGCGCCGGATCTCGGCGTGCAGCCCCTTCAGCGTGCTGGCGTGCTCGCGCTGCAGGAACAGCAGGTTCTTCTGGGCACTCTGCAGCTGGTTCTCCAGGTTGGACGCTGCCATCCTGGCATGCAGGGACCCTGTAGGGAGCAGACGTAGCATGGGAGTTACTGAGCACACAGGGATCCTCGCTCTACAGCCAGGAGCAGCAGGAGCATCTGAATTCTCCCACGGATGAGCTGATACACGAGCGAGCAAATGCCACAACAGGCTCATGACCATTTCCA